TGGGGGGCCTCCTGGGGCCGCTTGGGGGACTCTTGGGGGCCTCCTGAGGGCCTCGTGGGGGCCTCTTGGGGCCTCTTAGGGGCCTCTTGGGGCCTCGTAGGGGCTTCTTAGGGCCGAGGGCTCGAAATTTTGTTTCGTGTTCCCTCTCTGGGGCCCCTTTGGGGGTGTTCTTGGGGCCCTCTTGGACCGTCTTGGAGGCTTCTTGGGCCGTCTTCGAGCCCTCTTGGGCCATCTTGGGGCCCTCTTGGGGGCCTCTTGGGCCCTCTTGGGGCGATCTTGGGGGCCTCTGGGGCCGTCTTGGGGCGTCGGGAACCGAAAAGGTGGAAGCTCCAAAATCTTTCAAAAACCTAAGGAAAAACAATGAATTTTGCCTCCGGGGGCCCTCTTGGGAGTGCTCTTGGAGGCCTCTTGGGGCGTCTGGGGGCTATCTTGGGCGTCTTGGAGCGATCTTGTGGCATGTCGGACCCCTCGTGTACCATCTTGGGGGCCTCTTGGGGGCCTCTTGGCCTTTCTTGGGGCTCTCGGGGACGTCTCGGAGCCCTGTTGGTGCGCTCATGGAGCGCTCCTGGAGCGCTCTGGGGGACTCCTCCCGGGACTCTCTCAGGACCTTGCCGGGGTACTTTTCGTCCGGGGACCCCCAGGGGCCGCCCCGCGCGCGCGAACTAGAGAATTCTTAACCAGTTACCGGAGATCTTAGCACGCCTCTGGCCCGTTGGGCCGGCGAATTTACTACCTCCTGTTCATGATGGGTGAAGTAGCTGGGCGCTGCCTCGGAGATCTCGCGGGGGATGGGCTCCATGTACCGGATGTCAGGGGAAGCGGTGCCGACCCCTCGGGAGCTGGCACGCGCCCAGGCGAATCCGTTCACGCAGGCGAGAGGCTGTCAACCACCGACGTCATGTCCCATGGGGGTCATTGAGCAATCGACGTCTGGTCGACACCACATGGTGGGCCTCTTAAGCGGACGACTAACAGACAGTCGTGCAGGACGTTTATCCGCAGGTTTGGTTACGCATGGAGGAACCAGGAGGGTCCGCGCCCGGAACAGCCCCCCTCATATCCATCGGCGCACTCCGTGTCCATAGAGGCTCGTCAGCACCGCCAATGCGTCACTGTGAATGCTGAACCTCTCTCTATATCACGCTATCGAGGTCGACGACGACGGAAATGATTACTTGCAGATCTTAGCCCTGGACGAATTGCACAAAGATGTTCTCGACCATCTTGTTTCAGATGGACAGTGTACGCGCCTCGTGGTCTACGTGGCAGGGTCTGAGATGTCTGTGGTTGGGCGTGAACCGACCTACTCACCCGACCGACTCGCCCCCGAATGGTTCCAAGGGGCACGCAGCAGCAGTTGCTGCCGCGGTGCTTGATGAGCTCCACGCATGGGTGGATCACAGCTGCTTCTCGCGGAGCCCGCGCCTAGCCGCGCTCCGCGTCCTTGACTGCAGGTGGGTGGGCAAGTGGAGGTGGGCGCGAAGTACAACGGACCCTGCGCAAGAGGGGCGGGTCATCCGCGTGAGGCTGACGCACCGGGGCGTCGAGGATGCCGATGCCGATCTCGTCGCCGCACGAGTTGGCACCTCATCGCGACCCCTACAAGTTCCACTCCGAAGCGGCCTGGCGAGGATGGGCGATTGATGCGTGGGGTGTCAATGAGGCCTTTTTGAAAAGAGTCAGCTGCCATGATATTGCGGAGGCTGCGGGCGAGGAGAAGCGCGACGTTAATTCCGAGCGCGCCCCCGACGCCGTCGCAGTGCTGCGACTGGTCGAATGGTGCGATAATTTCGACCCATCACTCGAGGTCCTCCAAAGAGAAGAACCAGGCGCTGGCTGCAAGGATGTGCCGAGATGCTTGTCCACGAGGATGTGTTATATTTACCTAACAGCTTTTGCTGATAGGTTTCTAGTGGTGTCAAAAGAGAGCAGCAGATGACTCCACAAGGGGGGTCGGGGCGGGACCCGGGGAGCTGTGTCCGAACTCGTGTCAGAATTCGATTTTCGCAAACAGTCACACACTTCGTGCTCTTCGAGTGCCCAGAACTCCATTCCCGGGCCACATTCTGAATGCCCGGAGCCAACTGTAGGCCACTTCGTGCTCTTCGACTTCCCAGAACTCAATTCCCGGGCCACATTTTGAATGCCCGGAGCCAACTGTAGGCCACTTCGTGCACTTCGAGTGCCCAGAACTCCATTCCCGGGCTACATTTTGAATGCCCGGAGCCAACTGTAGGCCACTTCGTGTTCTTCGAGTGCCCAGAACTGCATTCCAGGGCTACATTTTGAATGCCCGGAGCCAACTGTAGGCCACTTCGTGCTCTTCGAGTGCTCAGAACTTCATTCCCGGGCCACATTTTGATGCAGATGCAGAGGCTGAGAATGGTGATGCTGATGCTGAGGCTGAGGCTGAGGCAGGCAGGCTGAGGCTGATGAGGCTGAGGCAGGCTGAGGCTGAGGCCGAGGCTGAAGGCAGGCTGAGGCAGACGCTGAGGCAGGCTGAGGCTGAGGCAGGCTGAGGCTGAGGCTGAGGCTGAAGGCAGGAGGCTGAGGCTGAGGCTGAGGCAGGCTGATGCTGAGGCAGGCTGAGGCTGAGGCTGAGGCTGAGGCGGATGCAGGCTGATGCTGAGGCAGGCTGAGGCACAGAGGCTGAGGCTGAAGGCAGACTGAGGCTGAGGCTGAAGCAGGCTGAGGCTGAGGCAGGCTGAGGCTGAGACTGAGGCAGGCTGATGCTGAGGCAGGCTGAGGCTGAGGCTGAGGGCTGAGGCTGAGGCTGAGGCTGAGGCTGAGGCTGAGGCTGAGGCTGAGGCTGAGGCTGAGGCAGGCTGAGGCTGAGGCTGAGGCTGAGGCAGGCTGAGGCTGAGGCTGAGGCTGAGGCTGAGGCTGAGGCCGAGGCTGAAGGCAGGCTGAGGCTGAGGCTGAAGCAGGCTGAGGCTGAGGCTGAGGCAGGCTGAGGCTGAGGCTGAAGCAGGCTGATACTGAGGCAGGCTGAGGCTGAGGCAGGCTGAGGCTGAGGCAGAGGCTGAGGCTGAAGGCTGAGGCAGACTGAGGCTGAGGCTGAAGCAGGCTGAGGCTGAGGCTGAGGCAGGCTGAGGCTGAGGCTGAGGCAGGCTGATACTGAGGCAGGCTGAGGCTGTGACTGCGACTGCCGCTGCCACTGCGACTGTCATCGCGAATGCGACTGCGACTGCGAGAACAGCCGAACTCTACAACTGGATTCTCATCTGAATCTTAAGGGGAATGCTTCCATATATGCTTCTACACATCGCTGTTAGGTTGCTTTGCCGGGATAATTTTGAAACAAGTCCTGGGGAGGCTTGTCCAAAGGGCTTCGTTCGGGGGGGGCTGTCCGGATTTGTGTGGGGTCGTCCATGGGATTGTCTGGGCCGCGCTGTCTTGCCGGCGCGTGCGCGTGTCATTATCATGCGTACCGTCAAAAGCATGGCGCGACCACGGAAACCCAGCTGGAAATGTCGCCTCTTTTTCCCCCTTGTCCTCTTGTACCCTTTCCGCTCCCGTTCGCGCGCCCTCCTTCGCCGCGCTCCTCGAAGCAGCCGCGCTGGCATTGCGGTGGAAGGTACTTCTGGCCAATGGGCTGGCGCTCAGAGACATCCGGCAGTATCGGGGGTAGCCTGGCAAGTTTCGCCATGGACGTCCTCGCAGCTTTGGGTTCGGTGATGTGGGGTAGTCTGGTCAGTTTAGCTTGACACATTCTCGCAAATTTGGGCTCGGAGATGCCGGCGTTCATGCATCTGTGGGCTCGGAGATGCAGCGCGCGAGGTGGTCCAGCCAGTTTTTCCAGAGACACTAGGGCTCGGGGATGCAGCGCGCGGGGCGGTTCAGCCGGTTCTGCCAGAGACATTTTCGCAGTTTTTGGCTCCGAGATGTTGCGTGACATTTCCCGGCCAGTTTCGCTTGAGACATCCTCGCAATTTTGGATTCAAGGATGCCTTGACCTGGGCCGTTCTTTTTCAGACGTCGTCAGCTGCTGCGCGTGGGATGGTCTGGCCAGTTTTCGCTTGGGACGCCCTCGTTTTCGCTTGGGACGCCCTCGCATGCCTGGGTTCGGAGATGCGGCGACTTGGTCAAGGTTTCGTCGCGCTTCGACCTCGCCCGTCCGCGTCTACGACGGGCTTTCAGACGTTCTGTCGGGGGCGTCACCAAACATGCCCAGATGCGGCCTGGTAGAACTCGCGCCGCTTCTACTCGTGTGAGCACCTCTGGTGCCGCTCCTGAGAGCGCGAGCGAGCTCCCGACAGCTGGTGAGCCCGCCTTCCGCCGTGCCGCGCCGTCAGGCCAGACAGCGATGCAGTCGGGTATGTCTGCTGAGTTGTGACTGTGACTGGGGTTGGACAGTCCTGGTTCCTTTCTCCTGGCACCTGCGTCTCAGTCAGAGCTGCTGGGTCGCCCGCGCAGTCCCAACTGAATCGGATGCTTTGCTGCCGTTTGGTTTCAGCGCCAGCGCGTGCAAATTGTACTGATGAGTTGACAAGCCCGCAAGTTTACGCCGTATCGCCGCTATCGTCAAGCTCCCACCCCCTGCAATTCTATTTCCTCCTCCTCCGCCTCCCTCGTTTGCCTTCCCCTACCTTCCCTTTGTGGTCGTCCATCTTCTGCAGATGCCAAGTTCCTGTCTCTCTCGTGGACCATGGAGGTCTCGACCCCTTCTCCGGAATCTGCTTTCCTTTCGAATTGTTCACGTTGAAAGTTCGTGGGCCCTGGTCGCCGAAAGCGGCTACGTTTTTTCCATGTTTTCGCGACCCTAGGGGATGCGGGCTTCCCTCCCCCAGTGTCTCCCATGTCCCACTTTTCTCCTTCGTCCTCCTCCTCTGTCTTCCTTTCTCGTCCTCCTCGTCCCCCCTCCTCCTTTTCCTGCTCTCCTCCTGGGGACGGGTGGGCTCCCCAGCGCAGCGCGCGCACGGCTGCGGTCTGCCCTCGTTCGTTAGCTGTTCCTCTTCTGCACGGCCAGAGGTTTTCCGCCTGGGACTGCGCGCCCCGAGGTCGTCGATATGATCGCGCAGGGCCTCATGGGAATCGCTGGCAACAGCCCCGCGTCCGCTCGCGCCGCCAGCCTGGACGGTGGGAGGAGTGGGAAGAGGCAGGACCACAGTAAACCATGTTGAATGGACTCCGGCCAGTGCCGCCGATCCGAGGCGCTCCAGAAGCTGGGGGTTGACACGACGGCGACGGCGACGGCGACGCCGACGACGGCGATGACGACCTCGACGCCGGCAACGGACGACTTACGACTAACGGGAGGAGGGAGGCGGGAGGCGGGAGGCGGGAGGAGGGGGAGGGAGGAGGGAGGAGTGAGGAGGAAGGAGGAGGAGGGAGGATGGGGAGAATGGGGAGGAGGCGCAGGAGGCGGAGGAGGAGGATGAGGACGAGGACGAGGAGGAGCAGCAGGAAGAGCAGGATAGGGAGGGAGGAGGGAGGAGGATGATGAGAACGAGGATGAGGACGAGGATGAGGACGAGGATGAGGACGAGGATGAGGACGAGGATGAGGACGATGATGATTGTGATGATGATGACGATGCTGGAGCTGATGATGATGATGATGATGATGATGATGATGATGATGATGATGATGATGCTGATGCTGATGCTGATGCTGATGCTGATGATGGTGGTGGTGGCGGTGTTGTTGATAATGATGATGACGATGATGCCGATGATGCTGATGATTATGATGGTGGTGGTGGTGGTGCGCAGGAGAGGAGGAGGAGGAACGAGGAACAAGCATATGATGATGCTGCTGCTGATGATCATGATGATGCTGATGCTGATGCTGCTGCTGATGCTGCTGCTGATGATGATGCTGCTGCTGATGATGATGCTTGCGATCATGATGATGATTATGATGATGATGCTGATGCTGATGCTGATGCTGCTGCTGTTGATGATGATGAGGATGAGGTTGATGATGATGATGATGATGCTGCTGATGATGATGATGCTGATGATTAATATGATGA